TAGAATAATCGAAGTTAGCTTTTTTGGCCTGCCGACGTGACGAGCCTTCGAAAGTTCGAATGCGGCCGTGTATAAGTCCGACTCATGCGTTAGGAGGCTTCGAGTACCTGTTTGTTTTCGGTTCCTGAGATTTTCCACCGGCCGTGAGAGGGTTATGCTTGCAGGATGAGATATCAGCGCGGCCTGTCGGTTGGTCGGCTTCACTAGCGTCATCGTCCACTTCGGGTGACCGCCTGATCGTCAGACGGGTAAAATGGTGACTGCGTTCCTCTGCTGCTAGCTGATGCCCAGACGCGGTCAATAGACCTACGGTCTGGTCCAGCTGGTCTCGACGCCGCAGAGTGTAGCCCTCCACGCTTGATGATCCGGATCTGGGAAACGACCCATTCTCTCCCCCAGCGACAAAGACCGAATGCAAAAGGCCTAAGCGCCACTTGCGTGTCTTGGCGAGCTCCACAGAGGGCCAGCTTTTGAATAGATCCGTCCGACGCCCCCAGGTGGAAATTGGCCTCCGATTGGGACCAGCAACACGGAAATCAGGAGGCGGACGGCGAAGAACGTGTCCAAACCACGTCACTCGCCCTTCTTGTGACAGCGAGTGCAGACTGTCACACTTGAAACGAAGTCGGTGTATTTCACTCGATGAACGGTTCTCGGACAGCAGTTGTCAACCAACAATTCTTGCCCGTCTTCCACGCACAAAACCCTGCATTCCCGACCGTATAGGGCTGGCCGGTTGGATGCCCGACACACGCTGGTCTCTGTGGCGGCGTAGACGTCACATCGATTTACTTGACGCTAGAGTTTATGCAAGCAATACGAGTAGCATTGGTTCGGTAAACCCACACAGACGGGGACCATTGATGCTACTCGACATTCGTCCGAACACATCTCAGTTTACTTCTCTTACCGATTTGGGGGCCTCGATAGGACACGGGAATAAGAACCCTTGTTAGAATTTAGCGCTTATGTTACGAGTGAGTCCCTATTCCCGTGTCTCACTGGGGGACCAGGTAAGATTGGTGCGTTCGCTTGCCATCCCAGCTCGTGTCTAGATTTAACACCGGATGGCAGCCATTTACAAAATACACTGCTTAGTAGGAGTCAGCCTAGTTGTGTCACATAGGCTGTTTCGGTGTCTGGTTTAACACCAGCGCAAGAAGACACAAACGTCGGAAGGACGAGTTTCGGGAGGGTGAAGCCTCATTAGAACGGATTTTGAGTGCACTGGTAGGAAGGTTGCTAACTGACGAGATAACTTGGACCTCGCAGTCGACCCAGTGTTGTGTGGAGCGGCTGACTGGTGGTCTGAGAGTCAGGCCGCAATTGCTCCTTTTAAATGTGGCGTTTATGGCTCCCACTCCGCGGGGTCCGAGCCGGATGTGACGGCACGCCTAGGTGCGTCTCCAACCCCGCCAGCCACCCATTTGTTGTCAGTTAAGATCCTGGTCATTTACTGTGTGGAGTGGAAGGCCAAGGTCCGGACTCGACCGTGCCCGCTCCCCCGCCTCCGGTCTTCTTGACTCTGTCTCGACACTGGGTTAAGGTGGGGAGGAGGGAGTGCAGCGAATGCTGTGCCTGTGTCACCTTTTCGCGGAGCTTGCGGTGGGCATCTTCGGAAACGACGGTTGAACTGTCAGTAGGAGAATGGGGCAGCCCACAATTTCACTGAACTGGCTCTTGGGCAAATATAAACCCAATTTCGTTGGATGGTCAACCATCAGCACCCGTGGCTACCAAACAGTCGCTGGGGAATCTAAGGGCGGCTAGTTAGGATGACACTCTGAGGCGCATTATAGGTTTATGGACAACAAACATAAGTTGAAGGGGTAGAAGCTGAGAATTCATCCATCCGGAATAGGCGTGTCAGAAAATTTTGTCTCTAAGAAGCCAGAGTTTAGAGACGACACGAAAGTGTCGAAGGTATGGGCAGAAGGATATTACCGACAAAGACAAGGGAGACTGAAATGGCCATTTCTGGCCTATTAGCCGACGTTAGCCAATCATACCCAAGCCCGATGTGTGTAACACCTGGGGCTTGGTCCTGCGACCTGTGAGTTAGAAGTCCAACGCCTCTAACCACTGAGCCACGGGCTCGTTGTCTTTTCGGTTGCGATCAGGAATATACAATGGTAGAGGGCACTCACCAATCAATTTTACCGAACTCACTCGTTCCGTTGTGCCCTACGGGCTCTCTCTCTCTCTCGAGCCCAAGCAGCAGCCGCACAGTGGCGCATGATATAGACTGAGTTGTGTTACCGACAATGACAAGGGAGACCGGAATGGCCATGTCTGGCTTACTAGCCGTCCTCAGCCAGTCATACCTAACCCCGAAGTGTGGAAGACCTGGTTAGAGGTGTTGGACTTCTAACTAACTGGTCGCGGGATCGAGCCTCATGTGTTCCACACTTCGGGGTTGGACATGACTGGCTAACGACAGCTAATAAGCCAGAAATGGCCATTCCAGTCTCCTTTGTCTTTGTCGGTTATACCACTCAGTCTATATCATGCGTCATTGTGCGGCTGCTGCTTGGGCTTGAGAGAGAGAGAGCCCGCAAAACACAAGGGGCCGATCGGTGAGCGCCCTCTACCATTGCCAGCTGACAGACTTTACGTCCAACATTGTGGACACTGAGGCTCCTGACGCCCAGTCCACTGTTCTTCCTGCAGCATATGCGAACCGCACGCAGAGTAACCGGAGGTGATAAAAAGTGAAGAGCGGCCTGGCTCGAGAATGAATTGTTCATTGACCTGCAGAAGAGCTGGTTAGCATATAATTGCTGTCCGCGATGACCGATTAGAATGGGTCTTTGATTCTACCCTGTTTGTACGACACGCTGTGACTGTTGATGGTCACGTTTGAACAGAGTATTTAGTGTTCAATAAGAACGATTATTGATCCGAACACCATTTGATAGGTACCATCGAAAATACAACCTTCAATGTGGGACATGAGCCTACCTATTCTGGTGAGTAAAATGACGACCGCACTATTGTTCATTTGCTGACTCACGTCCTTGGAGCTTCAAGTGCCCTGTCTCGAACTCACTGACTCCCACGCGGATCGCTTCTGAGGACTTGCCGTGTGCGAGCCTAGCTACCTGCTCCGATTTTTCTTATTTGACTAACTGTTGACTAGACTTGTGGTGAAACGACTTCCAAACACTTACGGTAGGAAAAAACCTGCCGGCCTGCAAGCAGATCTGCACTTAAATGGCCAGAAGACTTGTTCCATGTGAGAGTGCCACGCACGTCTAAACGTTCTCACTTAAATAACCTTTGATACTTAGTTGTGACCCCATTAAGTTGATACGAACAGTAAGTCATGCGCCTCAGAAGACATGTTTCCGCTTGGAACGTAGTCGGGTAACAATCGGGAGATGGCACCCAAAAAATCTGCCTAACCAAAGCAGCCTGTCTTATGGGACAGGTGGTAATAGGGGGTTTATGGGTGGTGGCTGTTCGGGACGTACGATACTAGCCGACGGTAAGCCTTATTTGAACAGGTGAATGATCGAAGTTGACCCGCTCTCCGTTCCGTTATTACAAAATGGGTCGCCAAAGGCAGTATAGTGGTAACGAACGAGTGGAAGGCGTACAATCGTCTTCCCTCAGAAGGTTATCTGCATTCCTCTGTTAATCACTCAAAGAATTTCAAGGACCCTACCACCGGACGGCACACCAATGCCATTGAGGCATACTGGAGTAGACTGAAAAGGAAACTCCACAAGGGAGGCCCTGTATGTGGTCGAGCTGTGTGGGCTCACATAGACGAACTACAGTATCGTCTTTGGTTTGGCCTCAATGCCATGTCTTTGACAGATGCCTGGGAACTGTTCCTGTCCCATGTTGTGCAGACTCATCCTATTTAAAAGTGATTTTATTTTGTAATAAACTGTCATAATGCGAATGTATGCCGTATATTCAGGTGTACGTGTGTAACGATGGGGAAGGTTGGGTAACAGCGACCATCGTCCATGCAACCTCCTGCGATGTTCGTTCGGCCAGCCCATGTTAGGCCGTCGGGGAAAGTCCAAGTAGTGCGTGAAAGTAGGCCTGCAACCGCTGATATAGCCTGAAGGCGTTTGAGTCCACTCTTAAAGGTATTATTTCAAGGTAACGGATTTTTTGGGTGCCATCTCCCGATTGCTACCCGCAGTCGACCTCTGCGCTCCGTCGCAATCAGGGTTTTCCTTCCTGACCTTAATTTGAATATTACCTAATGCCACCCATTCTCTGCGATGGGTTTAAGACGTCAGATGGATTCATTAAACGATAATGTCATGTCTCGGTAGACCATCCATGAGTGACCTAACTTGTGCGTTAAGTCGGTGCACTTAAAAAGTGCAAGTCGGTATGGCGTAAGCAGAAGTCGGCACAGGAGCACGCAAAAGGCCAGCATCTGAGTGTGTACCGAAAATCACA